GTCTGTCTGTCTGTCTGTCTGTCTGTCTGTCTGTCTGTCTGTCTGTCTGTCTGTCTGTCTGTTTACATAACAAACCATTAAGTAAAAGCGCGGTATGCAACACCCATTACACCCATAGAAAGCCTTTACGGCCCATTTCCTGTCTATCTTCACGCGAAATTTATAGTCAGGATTTCCTCTCCTCAGCACACAGATTCTGATAAGGACGCGTGGTTTATGGTCACCCCGATGTGTCCTTTCCTTCTTTGTATTTCGGTGTTACTGTTGTTGGCTTTAGGACCTTTCTGCGGGTGGTCGGAGGGCGCCACTTATTGTAGATTCTACGTCTTTCCTTCTCTCTACTCTGTTTATGATATATAAGTATATGTGTATATAATCTATATATATATATACTTTTCCTCATTGGTGGTTAGTGGGTGCTCTGGTGTGGTTTGCTTCTTTCTTCCTTCCTATCAAACATCTATCGTCCTTTTCTCCCCTCCTTCTTTTTTATGTTTGGTACTCTCTTGTAACACCTCTAATCTTCTGGCGCTCATATGACCTTATGCAGTTGCGAGCGCCTTAAAACCTCTACTAAAACTAAAAACTCTGTTTATGTATATGTTATATATATTATTATACGGGCGTATACTTTTCCTCATGGGTGGTTAGTGGGTGCTCTGATGTGGTTCGCTCGATCCTTACTTTCCTATACAACATCTATCGTCCTTATATCTTCTTTTTGTGTTTGTTAATCTATGTAACACAACACCTCTTATCTTCGGAGCTTACTTGGTTGGAGAATAGGCATCATTGCAGGCGACACAATGCCATAGCTGCTCCTCCCTCCTCTCCAGCATCCATGAAAGAGTCTGTTTGCTGATCGTGCCAGTTATCAGCTGGTTGGATATTCTTTTGGCTTTTCCACGCCGGTTGCTGTCTCTCCCCGACCCTCTGGTCTAGAGACACCAGCTTCTTTTAGTCTTTCCATTGTGTGGCATGTAGTGCTTTCATCTTCTCTGTGGTCGTTGAACCATGCTATCCCCTTCGGAACTTACGTTTACATGGTGTAAAAAATGTGTAGCAAGTACTGTAAAACGCTTAATTAAACAACATTAAAAAATACTTTGCCCAGACGCTGTGGTGTAGCAGTTAGACACTTCGCCGTCACACACAGAAGACATGGGTTCGAGTCCCCTATGAGTTGGGTTTTTCAAGAGTATCTCCGTCTGTCTGCTGGGACATCGTATTGACCCCCCTTAGGCTGGGTTGGCCCTGACAGGGAGGGAGGGAGGGAGGGGGGGGG